TCACCAGCACGTACAGTGAATCCCTTTGGTCTTGGTCATCTGATAAGTTACCCAGCAATGAGATGGCGGTAGATTCCGGGACATTTGAACACACAACAGTCAGGGCACTCTCGTGGGATCCCTTTTTTTACTGATCTACAAGGTAGGGTAATCCGTTGCCCTGGCCTGCTGACAAGTGTTTATTATTTACTCTATCTCACTCTATTTGCTTTTACGGTGTTTACAACAGAGGAGACAGCAATGACGGCCTCCCGGCTGACCTTTGTATCAATCTATGCATATGTAACAGATGTCCCGGGGGCTTTGTATCAACAAGAGACGTTAGAGCTACATGTACCGAGGATTGGTGTTCGGCTGCTTCCTCCTTGTTAATGATGGAGGGCAGGTATAGTGAAAGTTGCTTACTCAGTCTTTTCGAGTGGGGCCTGATTTTTGTTGCCATGAGTACTGTTTGATTCTCGTATCTACTGTCAGTGTCTGCACGGCGTTTTACCAAAGCCGGAGAAGATAACAAAGATTGGGACGCGACTGACTGCGGTTCAGTGGAAGCAGATTGTGCAGCGCTCTGTTGCTTGGTCCTCTTACGCTTCTTAGGTGTTTACTCGCTTCCTTTGAAGTACTCTTGTCGTTCAGCCGCTGCTCGGCTTCTGCGGTCAACCGGTCGCACTTCTGGACTAGGATCAGAAAGTACTTAACGAGTAGGATGGTCGAATAAGCATTACAGAAACAACACATGAGCTGTTTCGCCCTGATACCTGTTCTTAGGACACGTTTGTACATTTCGGATGGTACCATTCTAAACAGCGCGAGGAAGCCAATCCTATCTCAACTAATCGGTGACATTTTCCTAACTCATAAATGCCTTTTGCTTGGAGCCTTTTCGGATTCGTATTTCTGCCATTCAACCTGGGGTCGGTACCTGATCCAATGGGTTGGCTGATGTTCTGTAATATTCCAGCTTTGAGAGTTGCGCATGTCGTTCAGCTGGGCGTTGTGAGTACAAGGTCAAGTGAGTGATCGGCGTAGACGTGAGCTCCGTGTGATGGGTTGTACAGGCGCACTAGCTGACAAGGTCACAAAGAGTTGTGCGTGACTGGAACCTGCTGACTGAATCTGAACACAGAGCTGAACACAGATTGAGCGATCACAAATTATTTCACAGCTAAGTTACGAAACACCGGATTGAAAAAGGCTTAGGCTTTCGAACTGCCTCGAAAATTTTGTATCGAATGATGTCAGACAGAAAGGCAATCGGCTCAATGTGATTGATTAACCCGCTCACGCTTAATCATGGATGACAGTTAAAACGGTTAGTGATGGCAAAGACTTTAATAGTAGAAGATAATTCCACATATGATGGATCATAGTTTAGGGCTGGTAAATCTGGTTCGAATGAGCGTACAGTGACTACGCTGCGCAAAGAAGGAGAGAGGATAGAGAGGAATATGCCAAGGGATACAGGAACACGAGCGTCACGCGTGTGTGTCAAGAAAGCAGAGATGAGCTTTGCGGGGCATAGCTACTAAGCCTGCCGGAGTATGTACTGTGGTGTAGTACGGGGACTAAACATTTCATCTTCAAAATGAAGTGTGTCCCGGTATGATCACCGAATTACTCCATCCGGGTCCCACTATAGCAGCTTCTGGTTATTCTCTACAGCGAACTCCGGGGCAACCTGTTTCAAGCACAACAAGATACATCCGGTCACATTGGTTGAACACAAAGGCCAGAAGTAAGTCATTCTCTTAAAAAACGACAGAAAGTAATTTATTCTAGGTCATGTTGTCTTCATCCTTAAAGTAACACAACACAGAAAATTAAGTGTGGCCTGCATAACTTTAGTAAGATTTCTCTGGATTCTCCATTGTGACCAACTCATCAATAATCCAGTGAGATTCTGCTTAAGACCACTGCCCTCAGCTTATACTGTGGGTTCAACTGCGGCTGGTTTTAGATCAAATGCCGTATCCTCAGCACCCATTGGAACCACGAGAAGTCAAATGTTTTCAATTGTTGTTAGTTTACGACGCTATAGGGTGATGTGTAGGCCTCGGTTGGGCGTTGCTATTGTTTTAGCCATAAGAGTGGAATAGGGCGTTTGATTTTCTCCTAGACGGGCTATCTGTTGTCACATGCTCCTTCAATTGGTATGGGAACACTCCTATGCTACCTACAAGAAACGGAAGCCAATTCTTGCACGGACATTGTGTTTAAGATAACAAAATTTTCACGGTTGTGGTATAATCCTTGGAACAGAGTAACCGGTTGTTATGTTGTTGTTTCCGGTAGGCAAGCTAAGATTCCAACTAATTCAGACTACATCCTGGCTTAGACTTTCCTCGGTAAGGTCCCACGGAGTGAGCAAGGGTTCGTAAATACGCATATGCTATATCAATAGAATTTATGAGTTGCAGCACGGGGATATAATCCAACATATGGATGATCATGGGGAAAATTTCACGTCATGCCGTTAAAAACTGAGTTCCAAGCTCGGGAGAGTTGAAAGAAAGTAGTTCTGCCTACATTCTAACCGACTGGGATGCTTGCTTAGCCTTACTTGAAAGTCCCATACTTTGCTGTTGCAACTGCTATTCAATTAATGGCGATGCATATGCAGAGGAACCCACCGTATCCGATACATCCGCACAAGTCAACGCGCTTAGGACGACAGCATCCGTTAACACCTCGAGTAGCTAAAGTCGATGCTCGTATGTGTGGCACAATGTTGGTACTTTGTTATCGGAAACAGCGCTCGGTTGGAGCCGGAATGCATGTTTCCGAAGGATGACGGTCCAGAGTAATTGTTCGAAATTAGAGTGCACACAGTCGCTGAACCTTGGGACGAGGATGAATAAGCCGAAACACCAGACTACGCTAATCGAAGGATCGATATGCCATATACATCTTCGGGGAATAAACCCGGAATGCTTCGAACAGTACATTTTGTCCTGCAGGGATATACAGAAAATGTGCCCTTACCTAGGACTCATTAATTGATGAACGAACATATAAATATCGACGTCATATCTTATCAGTTTCCTCGTACTTTAACTTGGATGGCGTTCCCTTCAGGATGGACCAATTTGTGGCTTTACCGAGTGACTTTGCAGTGCCACTTAATTACTCTACCACTTGCTGGTCCATCACCTTAAGGTTGCCCGCATACAAGAGCTCTCCGGAGGTATGGATTCATTTGCTCCTTAATGGATGCTGAGATTAGGCCTAGACCGCATAAGGCAAATCGCTCTGCTCGCATTCAACATTTGTTGGGTGATGTGGCGATCCTTGGACGCTCACTTCCATATGCCATTCATGGAGAAAGTTGTCAATCAGAAATCCACACGCGTAGTAACTGAAACTTTCCGGAGGTCATTAACGCCTCGTATTCGAGCAGCTAGATGGTAAAGAAGTCGAAACCAGTTAATGAGCGATGCCTATGTGTGTCCGATTCGTCTGTCACTGAGTATATGCACAACGATAAGATTTCGGTCCTTGTTGATTGTACTTCGGGCATTGTCCTACAAAGAAAAGGCCGGAAATCTTAAGTCGGAACATATTCGCAACTAGTTGGTTTCTTCATACCGCTGTTTGTGATAAAAATTTGTATCCGTGCATTCTCGTATGTGGCGATCAAATCTGAAGTGTCTGGCTAATGTGTCTGGGAGTCTTGGACGCAAATTGTTCACTCTACGCCGTAGGTAAATGGCTGAGCAAAACATGCGAACCAGCGTAATTCAGCTTATCCTATTTAAAGTCTTTTGTCACTATGAGTTTGGCAAAGCTATGTTCTTATGTAAACTTAAGCCCGTGAAGAATAACCCTCGTAGTGGGCCTGGATCATGTTGCAGCTTGTTATTTTTCACGTACAATCATTTGTCCTAGCCCGATGTTGCTTTTGAGTACGAGTTTATCCCTGTCCGTTTCGTTGCTGCCCCGAGAACCCACTTTAACTGGCTACCTATCGTTTGGCTAATATTGCAAGATTTACCAATCGCTACTCCATGCTTTGGAAGCGCGTGTGCATGGTGAAAACCTATGTGTAAATTATGAGCACAAGCAGACCGATCCATGGGATGATGTTTGGTTTCTTGCACCAATGACACCTACACCGGTAATAACTAATCTGCCAAAGCTGTCGCAGTTAACTGGTAATCTGTGCAAAAGCACTTGTTCGTAAACATTAGGCTCCCGTGGACATCGGGGTGTCACATCTCTCTTTCAATAATTCGCTATATTTTTCGGTTACAACCGATTTGCAGTCATGAATATTTGCCTGTCAATGTATCGACACTGAGGATGCTTTAGCTGTCCGATTTTCCTACACTGCAACTTGCCACCATAGCCAGTACAGATGGGCGAATTCATAAACCACTAAACAGTCAGTCCCTTCCAGCATTTCGGCCGCAGTACAGCACACGTGTATGCCTACAGCCAGCTACCTGTTTTATTATGGCTTTAAAACGGTACCATTGGGCTTTTGAGAGTGCAAGTATTTTGCAGAGGATATTCCTGCGTCACTGAGACCGCTTGCTCCGATGTCAACTTTAAAATACCCTACTATTTAGACTCACGCTAGTCGCCCAGTTTGAATTCCCCATGATAATTTATTAGAATCACTCAGCATAAATGCATTTGAAGGCACTGTGCACAAATGCCTGATAAACCAACCTAACTGTGCTCTCTGTGGTGATGACGCTTTACAGTTTGCCATATGTCGAATCGTCTTAGGAGTGTTGTAACTAGCCCCTAAACTTGCATTTTGAACTGGTTGCAATGGAGCTACGAATGTCTTTCCGATAACACTTCATGTTTCTGTTTCAGGTAATGGGGGCTGGAGGTGGTTTGAAATTATCATTCAATGTTTGTCATGGTGCCATGCCAAACTGGCCTTATTATTACACCCAACACACTCCTTCGTATTCAACTTCATTATGCCTTTCAGCAGGTACCCTTTCCAAATGCACATCTGAGAACTCGATTCCAAATTTATTCCTTTTCAGCTTAGAAGCTTTACAGAAACCTCAGTGTGATGGGACTGGTAAGGAAATGCGCAGCGACTTTTGCTCAAATTATCAAGAGTCTTTGATCCCGACGAAGTTAGATTACCCATTGACGGACCCACCAGTCAGTGAAGATGAGAGTGATTTCACGAGACTTCAAACGGATTTTGAGAAGCACCTGAGCTTTCCCCACGGGTGTGAGTGTTGAGGTGATGTTTATCTAAACACTGCAACGCATTAGGCCAGTTCCAAGATGCATCTCATGATATCAGCTGTTATTACCTCTCCGAGATTTAAGTGTGCGACACGAAATACCTCATGAAAAATTTTTATGCTTGCATGTTTTATGCTGCAGTATGCCTACTGCTCATGATATTCACTTGGGTTCCCTGAGGGTGTGTTGTTTTGTTCCTATACATTGTACCGAGCGATATCTCAGTACCACTTTTGTCCATTAGGCACGGCTATTTACGTGATCGTAGTATGAACGGTGGTGGAGGGTGTGCGTCATTGCACAGAAACTAGCGGCACCTTTGATGATGGACCGCCATCACTGCCACGTAGGAAGATAGTCAAAAATTCAAAACCTGTAGAAGACCAGGATGGTTCGTGCTGTTGTTTAGCGGTGCTACGAAGTAACTCCCCTACAAGACGTTCGATTATGTGAGGACGCTGATAACTGACATGCGTTGCGACAACTCTTTACAAAATATGTACACATAAGCTTGTTATGTTCAAGTACTTAGTAGTACTACTAAGTGAATGGAGCTTTAGTAAGGAAAACTGATGCTCTGTGAAAGTCCTCAAAACTTACAATTCGCCACTTTGGATACAGTTTCATAGACCGGCATACCAGATGCCTGGATGCAGACTGCTTGTCACGATTCAAACGCTAAATAGGTACTCTGCAATCACAAAATGGATTTCAACCACCGTAATTCGTGCACCGTTAATATTGTTCCTGGGGGACGTGGGTTTCTTTCAGCCCTGCGCCCCTACCTCACTAGTTACTAGGGGGCTGAGACATTCTATGACTAACCTAAGCTCCCAACACTCAACTTGTTGCAAAGTTGGCGAGATGATGATCCATACATTCCCAATGCTTTCCAGGATTTGCGCCCCACGTTAATCTACGAGTATCTCCGTAGGCGCAATTTGGTTCGTACCAATTGAAATGCTGCTCCGACTCAACCTTTCACTGACACGAGTTAGTCAAAACTACTCGTAACACATTCGCAATGAAGTAAATATTCAAGACACTAAATTAGTCTAATTTCCAAAATAAATGATAGCTAAGTTCAGACATGTATTTGAGCTCATCAATCAAGTACTGCTACATTACTGGTAGCCTAATGATGCAGACGGTAAACTGAATGTCCCTCGTCACGGGGATAATGATTGTTGTGAACACATGAGATACTTAGACCTTACACGATTCAAGAAACCGGTCAAGTGGTCTTTGCTAGATTAATTAAAATTCGGATCTTCCACTAGTTAAGCATCCACATTTGGAATAAATAAAGATTAATGTCGTGCTCATGTAAAGTTTCTTTAGTGTCCTCAATAGTGGACACGTGCAAGGACTACCTGTCTGACGTGAATTAACCATTTGTGCGCAACCATTCTACGACGAAATTTAGCTTCCAGAGCAAGCGAGTTCCATTGCCCCCAGAATTGTATATTCTCACCTTTGGGTGACTGGTGTTCTGGCGTGAACGAATGCTTTTACATGCATTCGAGGCATCTACAGAAGCACCGCTACTCAACCGATGTCAGGGTCTGTAAATTACTCATTTTAATCAGCTACACATTTCCCATGCTCTTTTAGTTGGATCCAAGGATGTCCAGTAGATCCTGCCATCCAAGTACGGATGCTTGTTGCATTTGGCAGCAGTTTGCCAAAGTAATATGACTTAAAGAAAAGGGAGATTCTAAGATCATACGCCGTTGGCTGTGATTACTTTCCAGGAGCTCAACTATTCCCTGCTTCTCTCTAGGCGAAATACAATCGGCAACAGTTTGGACGGCGCCGGTCTCATTGCATTTGTATGGAGGTTTGATATCATGTTTGTGCTTAGACTTTTGACCTTCTGGCTTTAAGACGTGTTTATTTTTACACAGTATTAAGCAACGCAATTGGGTTTAATATTTGTGTACAGCTATACTATGGATCCGTCGTGTGCATTGTCATTCGATTCCAGCCTGCTAGATTTCATATAGTGGTTGCGCAAACACAAGTTTAGCAGTCTCCGTCTTGAGCAATCAATCATGTAGTCTGTGAGGGGCAAAGTTAGGTAATATAGGCGGACGTAATCTAACTCTGATTGTCAACAATAGAAAAGTGTTAGATGGACGTTTCTTACCTTGGGAACTCTTCATTCGCTGGCATTCTACCTGCCTCGGGTGGATATAGAAATTGCGATTATATTTTTACGCGTCAGTTGAGATTACCTCTTGGCATGGTGGAACGTCACCGGTCAATATGTCTAATTTACCAAGCGTGATGTATGCTGTAAACGAAAGGACGGTGTGCTTCTTTCCAGATGTCGCTGGTTACTTTATCCAGTACAACGCTGATGGATCCCATGCGTCCACATCTTTGAGTGTTAAGCATCCTAGCTACAAACATAATCAAGAGAATAGAGAAAGAAGCTATGCTTGGTAGGAAACCGGCTATGTCCTTTCCGAGGCAAATAACTGGTTAATGACCCTTCGTATAGACTTCGATCTACTCACGAAAGGCTTTGTTAACGCGCACGGTTCGGTGATGAACAGCGGAAATTTGGAAAAGTAGATTTATCACTGGTAAAAAAGCAAACTATGAACAAGTCCGGCGGGTAGATAGTGTAACCATAACAAATGTCCGTCAAAAAACATTAACCTGTATCCATGGACTCAACGTAATTTTCACTTATATATCCGGTTTGGATGCGTTACTTCGATTCTTCATAAGGGCTTAAATTGTGTACTACAATTAGTGTAATTCATTATCAATTCGAGTTTTGAATTCGGTTAATGTAGAAGGGGAGATGATAAAATTTCGAATAATATTTCAAGACTGGGATACACAAAAGGGAGAAAATGTTTCGACTGCATTCCAACCAGCTACACCGTGAGGCCAATTTCAATTGGTGACCTCTCAGTGGGGTGTTGTGGTTGAGTCTCAGTAACTTTCAGTATGAATGAGTTGGGTCCTTGAAATTAGCCCACAGATAACGATGTTGTCCACTAAAATCTCTTGAGACCATTATTTTAAGTTAGTACGGGAGATAGTGCATCCCGTTAGACATTTTGGCCACTCGTTGGTGTGCAGTTTCAAGAGCAGCGAGGTCAAGTTTCGCCGAAAGTTCCAGGATTGCATGGAAAGAAGTTATTTTGTTATAACAAATTTATTAGGAGTTATTATGCAACTCATCTACTGTATAATACGAAATGGTCTAGCGTTGAAACTACCAAGTTCACTTGATCAAATTTACGTTAACAAGGGTAATAAAAAACATCCAAGCGCGTAACGATAAACTGGTTTTCAGATTCCAGTAAATACATTCATACTGCTACCACTGGATCCACTGTTCAAAATAATAAACTGTATTTTCTCTAACGTAACCATCATTTGGCCATTGACTGGACACAAGATGATCATTCCCACGGAGTAAAGACGTCATCTGCACCATAGTATCACACCTAACAGTAGTGCAGTAGCACCTCCGGGTATCAAGTCTAAGTTTAAGCCAGTTTCCAACGTAAAAATGGCCAAGCAAAATTTGGTACATATGAAATGAGAAGTACAGCCCAATTGGCTTCAGAAGAGACCAAAGACGCCACAGTCACCAACTGCCAGAGAAGCACAGCTGCGTGGAATCCTGTTGCATCTTCAATATCTACCAGTTAGCTGAACCAAGAATGACTTTCCGGAGTTTAAATTCTACCCGCCTAAGTTGAGCGTAATCATATGTGGTATTGACAGCACATGCACTACTTGTTGCCAAACAAACTACAGAAAATAGACATCAGAAAACAAGAGCAGGAAAAAACTTGCATGTTGATGAAGGAAAAGCTGAGAGCATTGATCAGAATGTAACACGTTTCGAAACATTATCAATAAAAGTATGGTTGACAATTCCATAGTTGGAAAAAATTGGATCACTTTAGAAATATGAATAAAGCCATAGGAAGGGAAACACTGGCAGATATCAACATTTCGTATTGTCTCTTCAGTGTTAACAAATAACATGAACATATATACGATGACAGGTAATGTGCGACCGGGACAAGTTAGAACAGGGTAGACGGCAGGCGTGACACCCCTAGGCCCAGGGCAGCCGTAGGCTCACGAACAACTGTTTCTGCACACAGACTGCGGGTTTGATACGGCTGATCGCGACTGACGCTGCGAAATTTAGGAAATGGGCGTTAGCAAGCCTTAACACGGTTGTAACTCTTTTGGAAGGATCAAACTGATGACAGGTGGCCAGCAAATGCCTACCTATGGATGAAGCGGATCGCTTACGTGAACAAGTGGTATGAGCAACCGACGACTGGGTGATTTGGTGCTGCAACCATTTGGGTACATGTTCCCTTATTCCGGAGTTCAACGATCTACTTGTACGGCCGATGTAGTGTATACCACAACTACAAGTACATTGATAAGTACAATGTGAATTGGCGCCAATAGGTTATCTTTCCGTCATTGGCATAATAGGTATTCGATTAATCCGGTTGATAAGAAGAGCTTCAGTTGCATAAGAAGTCTTCTGGACTGCGGAAGTTATACGCTTATTTGTCCTCATATTGGCAAAATCACGCTTAAATAGTAGCTCGATGTAGACCTTCTTTTAAAACACTGTCGAAGCCTTCTATCCCGGCACCCTCACCTGATTATGTTTGTCGATGAATCCACATGGATAGCCATTCTTCAACAGCTCATCCTTGAGCGAGGTTATCTCATTTTCTAAACTGTCAATAGTGCATATTTTTCTTGCACGGTTGAATAGCGCCTTGACTAAGGTCCGCTTGCACCGCATTGGGGAGAAGCTGGTAAAGTCCAAGTACTGCCCTGACCAAGTCGGCTTTCGGCAAACCTCTCTTCTGATGGACCCATCTGCTCTTCGGCAAATCAACACGTCCAGATATGGGAGGCAGTTACTTTTCTCTGTTTCGCGGGTTACTTTTACATTCGTATGCACGTTATTCAGACGATCCGCCAGACGCGCAATGTGCTCATTGATGAGCTAAACACTAATATATCATCCACATATCGCTCTTAGTAGGAAATAAGCGATATTTCTGCATTCAACTTCGTTTCGATCATGGATGTGAAAAAATCTGCTAGCGCTGGGTCCAACGGATCACCACTTGCCACCCCATCGATATTGCGATAAGGGATGTTTTGGAATTGGAAACCGATGTTCTCAGTGCATAGTAGTAAACTATCCTTTAATAATTTGACTGGTATTGGAAGAGTTAAATCGGAGCACTCTGACATTTCACACACGTAATCAACTGTTTCATGTAGAGGAACACTGGTGAAAAGCGGTTGCAGATCCAATGTGGCCATGACTTTATCGGCTAGGTTAAATTCATCTAAAGCCTCTGTAAGCTCGAAAGATTCCTTCAGACGGTGTGGGATAGTCTGCCGTTTTAACGGCGCAAGAACTTCCACCAGAAAATAAGCCAGCTAATTTAATAACATTTGGCACTGTTAAACGAGTAGGCGTAATGGAACACCATATTGTTGTTCACCGCTTCAAGGAAAGTCCGATGAGAGTAAGGAAGAGAAATTAAAATGAGTTTGGGCTTGCGGTTCATGTCTAACTGCCGAATTTTATGATGGTGTGATTCTCGGCCCATTCCCATTTTCGTTGCCTAAATTCATTTGCGTGACACCTATGTCATTTGTTCACATACAATACGCTTGTACTTTTCAGCTTCCGATTCTGAATTGGAGAACATTTCAGAATGCGGAGCCACATCGGGATCACAAAGAAGCATCAGGGTAATTCTATATACTTGTATGAGATGTTTACTGGGTATCAAACACAAAATAGCTACAGAGAAATGTCAGCAGATAAATCAAAATGCCATATCAATTCAAAATTTTCCAGTTTTTGAGTAAACTTGTCAACCGTTTGCTGCCAGTTAGTACGTAGTTTTATTCTGCGCCAACAAAGAGGCAAGGCTGTATCTTGAGGTGCAGAAATTCATGCACTTTAATGTGTGTTGCCCCCAAAAATGGCGGGGAACTCATACTATCCGTAATAAGAAAAACCCGTTTGTTTCACAAGACGCATGCGCATTCCTAGGTGATAGCAGTAGAGATTTCCAGAGTTGATTATTTCTCACATCTCGTGCGCAATCCTACTTCTCCTTACTTTGGTAAGTCGGAGCTGAAAAGCAAACTCCTTAAGATATGATGGAGCGATAACTTCTTGGCTACTAGTATATTCGATCCCACAGTTAGCAATCTGTAGTTTGGTTGGAAGGTCCATTTTGAGTTTTGCAAAATGGGGCATGGCAAATAAACTTGTTGTCGTTGCAATAACAAAAGATTTGTGGATCACAGTATGTGTGCGAAAAGGAACTTTGGTTATTCTGAGATTGAGACACAAGCGACAACCAACGAAAATGGTAGAGGAATAGTCTACGAAAACGTCGGAGAGTGCAAAATGATTCGCTGTCGAATGTACACCATTGCAGTAAGCCACATGATAAAGTTTTGATGATAGCTGTCACACCCAGCGAGCGGGGTTGTTGGACCGATATTCCATCAACTCTCATCCACATTTGTGTTCAGTAGCCAACTATTTGACAACAAGAGCACGGGCTCGATTACCAGTTCGGAACTGAACCTGCCTGTCACAAACTATGCTCGACATTGTTCCACTCAAAAGGGGAGAGTTCTGAGCATGATAATAGAGAGCAGATAACAAATGAGAGTAAATTAGGTCAAAGCAGCGATATTTGTTTAGGAACCATGACATTGTAATGGTGACACAGGGATTCGGGTCTCCGTACGATACAAGTTTCCATTCGAAACATAAACGACAGTGGGTCCTTTATGACCCCGAACCTTTTCTGATCGTTGTAGGGATACACAACAGAGGCTTACGTAATATTAGAACGGGAGATAAAACCAGATCTACGGTACCAATAAAGCTACGGAACCTGCGAACTGAATAATCACTGTATAAAAGTTTTAGTTCCGAAATAACGGTGGATTTTGTTCAATCTACCTACACATCTGACACGCCATGTATATGGGGATTCGTCCTCTCTATTAGACGTGGTTTTTAGAGCAATGAGGAACGAGAGTCCTGTAACAGAATAAATTTGTCAGAGCTTGTTTGCAGTGGCGATTCATGAAGAGATTATTAATGTTGAGGAAGTTATTTTATCGGAACTTCATTTACTTTCGGTCGAGCACCGCTCAAGCACGAGGGAAAAGAAGGCGGTCAAGTCATTGCCTCTGACAGTAGCCTCTAGGCACTCAACCAGTACCCGTTTCTAATTAGTGAATCAACGAGGAAATTCTAGGTCTAACCTTGAGGCATATTTAAATGCAAAAAGGATGTGTGACCATAGCCGCTTTGTCGCACCCGTACTGAAGCTGTTTTCTTGACCGGTGTTTTCGTGCGTGCAACTGTACGAAACATGGGAGACAGTAACCAAGACTTAGTGTGCAGATCGCAAGCAACATTACATACTGTCAGTCCTTGTTACCGGTTCCACATCCAGTGGCGTTGTTACACACAGACATTTTTTGACTTCCTTTTTAAGTGATTTGGAAAGAATGAAACCAGTGGCACTGGTGAGTGAGTTGGCTTGTCTAATTCCAACTGGAGCAGCTAAAACTTGGAACAGCGCAAATCCAGTATGGACGTCTTTATGACTACCAAGTTGGGCTGTTTATACTAAGTAATGGATGGATGAGTGAAGGATTACAGATTAGTATGTGCATAGTTTCTGTGGGAAGGAACACGATCGGTTTCCGATATACGGATCTCAACAGCTGTTTAATGAACAGATCAAACAAGTACTGGAAGAGAGCAGCATTTTACCTTGTGATTCCAAATGAAATATGCGTGTAAGCTCCAGGTTTACTGAAGGTTTAATACCAAGTATCTTCATCTGATCACGCCACCAATGTAAGTATTGAAGAAGATAGAACGATACCTGAGAATGGTCCGACTTCTCCCTTCTAACCGACAGTCCAGCGTCAAATTGGCTTTCCTCAAACTGTAACGGTGCTAAATCGCACATCACACATACTATTTTTCTATTCTGAAGCTCAGTTTCATTTGCACCACCGAACCTGTGTTGTCAGCGAATCGACACATAGTTGTGCGATAAGTCTGATTTGGTTGCACTCAATACTGATGATGCTAAGATGTTTTTCCATCCGTTACCGTCACTGAATACAGGAGACTATTTATCCTCAATGACGGTGGTCCTGTAGGCACGTTATGATACTACCAAGCCAACGGAGTCGTTCTGTGACAAAACGAGAAAAGGCTCAAATACAGCCTTGTGCAAGTTTTGAGTGACAGTGCTTTCTCAGCTTTACGTAGACGAATAGGTGGCTGACTGCGGCCAAGTCCATTTCAATAGTATGTGGTCTGTGCACGTGCAGTAGAGGCACTCGCCGCACCCTCAGTTTCCGAGCAGGTTGTACCCAAATTGATCTATGAAAAATGCGTTGCTGAATCGTTGCGATGGGCTGCGCCTGTCCTCCGATCTTATTCTACCGGCATAGAATCCGGGAGACCGAATGCGTGCACGATGTGACACTGTTCGTCCATAAACATCGGGTAATTGAAGTCAACTATTGAGCAACTAAGTTTATGCGTATGAATCGGGATCCATTCCTACGCCTACATATGGAATGTGACGCACAGGTGTTCACCGTCTTCTCACATTGTCTGAAGAACACCAGGATAGGGGCTTCGACCTCGTGGACGCCAGTCTTGTGAGCCCTACTTAAGTCATCCAATCTGTTGGCTATGTGGCGTCAAATACTGAATACTGAATACTGAATACTGAATACTGTATTATAGAGCAAGTAGAAATGGATTCTGTACAACTCTTTCGAGATATGGCGAAAAACGTTATAAAAGTTGTCAACCTTGAATATCACTGTCGTTCTCATGTAATATTTAAAATATTCGACTTACGATATTTCAGGATTCACAAATGTGATGTCATCATAAGTGTGCAGTCGTTCTCTGAATCGAATAGAGGCAAAATGCAAATCTAACAACGTTTTGAACTGTTGCACAGATGTTGCCTCAATCACATGTTCGGGCAAACTATTCCAAATGTTTACCACTCTCCGTTCGAAGCACAGTGGGTGGGGAACACGTTTCATATCCGGCACAACAAGTTTGTATCTGTGTCCACGTGTGCTGCATGGCCCTCGTAAGTGCAGCATTGGCCTTAACATGGGGAACTCACCGAGATGTAGAATTCGGTAGGTCATAATGAGGTCGACTCGCACCCGACGGTAGGACAAGGTGTAGAGTCCTAGTTTCTCGCACCGGTCTTCATACCCAAAGCCACGTAAACTCGGGATGAGCCTGGTAGCAACGTGTTGGACCCGTTCGATCTTTTGTGCCTCGCCTCGGGTAATCGGAAAGTAGGCGGGCGAACCGTACTCTAGCATTGGTCTAATGATAGAAGAGAACAGGCGAGTGGCAACCTCTTCAGACCATGTGCAGAAGCTACGTTTGAGCGCCCAAAGCATGCGCAGTCCGTTCCGATATAGCCTGTTCGTGTTGTCCACGGACTTCAAATCGTAGCGTGAGAGTACACCTAGGTCCTTCACGGAGGGTGTGGGATATAGCGTTTGGCCGTCAAGGGTGTAGGTTCGGCCGTCTGCACCCTTCCCCAGGCTCATAAATACCGACTTGGCTGGGTTGACCGGGAGAAGAACTTCTGCAGACCATGTGGATAAGCGGTTGAGATCTTGCTGAAGTAGGCCACAGTCATCGGGAGCGTCGATTTCTCTCCAAATCTTCATGTCGTCCGCAAACAAGGCACACGGCGACCGGAGAAGCTGCGGTAGATCGTTGATGTGGATCAGGAACAGAGTGGGGCCCAGCACAGTGCCTTGAGGCACGCCACTTGTAGAGGGGTACCAGTCAGTTAGATGGTCGTCGACCTGTACCCTCCACTTTCGTCCAACAAGAAAGTCGCAGATCCACCGGTGCAGTGAGCCACCGACGCCACACATGCTGAGTTTGTGAAAGAGAACCTCATGACTGACCTTGTCGAACGCTTTACTGAAATCGATGAATATCACGTCGACGGACTTCCCCTTGTTTATTGCCTTTAACCACTCATGCCTCGTCACAAGCAGGTTAGTAATGCATGAGTGACCTTGCATAAAACCGTGCTGTGCGGGCGTCAGGACCTCGTTTGACTGTAGCAACTGCGGCAATCTCTTCTTCACGATTTTCTCAGCAACCTTTGCCAATATAGGTGTCAGACAAATTGGCCTGTAATTGTCTACTTTGCTAGGGTCGCCGCCTTTCGGAATAGGCTTCACCACTGCACATTTCCAGTCAACCGGCAACAAACCTTCGGAGAGCGACCTGTTGAAAAGGTCAGTCACGACAGGAGAGAGGATGGTTGAAAGTGACTTGAGAATCAGTGGGTGAAGCCCATCAGGTCCGGCAGGTTTGGTGCCGTCAAGGTTGGCGAGTAGTTGAGCTACCTCTTCGACGCCACAATGCAGACTATCGAGTTCGGTAAAAGCGGTACACGTCGAACTCGGAACAGACACCTGGTTATTCGCAAATACAGAAGCGAAGTGCGCCGCCAACGCGGACGCACGCTCAGAGCTGGAGGTTAGGGGCTGTCCATCCGTGCCATCCAGCACTGGCACATCACCCGCCGGCTTCAGGCGTTGCTTCACGTATGCAAAGATTCTCTTGGGGGCGGTCTTCGCGGCTAATGCGAGCTGCTCTTCAAAGTGTCGGCGTTTATTCTTTTTTGCAC